GAACACCATACCTACTGTGAAGCATGGGGGTGGAAACATCATGCTTTGGGGCTGTTTTTCTGCAAAGGGACCAGGACGACTGATCCGTGTAAAGGAAAGAATGAATGGGGCCATGTATCGTGAGATTTTGAGTGAAAACCTCCTTCCATCAGCAAGGGCATTGAAGATGAATCGTGGCTGGGTCTTTCAGCATGACAATGATCCCAAACACACCGCCCGGGCAACGAAGGAGTGGCTTCGTAAGAAGCATTTCAAGGTCCTGGAGTGGCCTAGCCAGTCTCCAGATCTCAACCCCATAGAAAATCTTTGGAGGGAGTTGAAAGTCTGTGTTGCCCAGCGACAGCCCCAAAACATCACTGCTCTAGAGGAGATCTGCATGGAGGAATGGGCCAAAATACCAGCAACAGTGTGTGAAAACCTTGTGAAGACTTACAGAAAACGTTTGACCTGTGTCATTGCCAACAAAGGGTATATAACAAAGTATTGAGAAACTTTTGTTATTGACCAAATACTTATTTTCCACCATAATTTGCAAATAAATTCATTAAAAATCTCATTTTGTCTATCATAGTTGACGTGATGAAAATTACAGGCCTCTCATCTTTTTAAGTGGGAGAACTTGCACAATTGGTGGCTGACTAAATACTTTTTTTCCCCACTGTATATTATAATGACAGCACACCAATCATCTTAGGCGAAAGGGTCAAAATGGTATACAGATGGTGTCCATGAAGATTAGTTACAAGTGGGTGTTCAATTCTGTGTCAGGCTCTCCAAACTGCTTTATTTGATCAACTTACACAGAAGCCCCTGGCTCTGTATCCGTCTTGTCCATCTGCAGAGCCTTGTGCAGCCATTCTGTGATGTTGGACTGTGGAAGGGTGAGAGAGTGTAAGCTGGTCTTTCTGCACAACTCAACCTTGTTAACCTTTTTAATAACCAATAATAATAATAATAGCTCTGGGTGACCCATCTCCACACTGGAACACATTCACAGTCGGATATATAAATGAGAGAACCATGTACAGTTGAAGTCGGACGTTTACATACACCTTAGCCAAATACATTTAAACTCAGTTTTTCACAATTCCTGACATTTAATCCTAATAAAAATTCCCTGTCTTAGGTCAGTTAGGATCACCACTTTATTTTAAGAATGTGAAATGTCAGAATAATAGTAGAGAGAATTATTATTTCAGCTTTTATTTCTTATATCACATTCCCAGTGGGTCAGAAGTTTACATACACTCAATTAGTATTTGGTAGCATTGCCTTTAAATTGTTTAACTTGGTTCAAAAGTTTCGGGTAGCCTTCCACAAGCTTCCCACAATAAGTTGGGTGAATTTTGGCCCATTCCTCCTGACAGAGCTGGTGTAACTGAATCAGGTGTGTAGGCCTCCTTGCTCGCACACGCTTTTTCAGTTCTGCCCACAAATATTCTATAGGATTGAGGTCAGGGCTTTGTGATGGCCACTCCAATACATTGACTTTGTTGTCCTTAAGCCATTTTGCCACAACTTTGGAAGTATGCTTGGGGTCATTGTCCATTTGGAAGACCCATTTGCGACCTAGCTTTAACTTCCTGACTGATGTCTTGAGATGTTGCTTCAATATATCCACATAATTTTCCTTCCTCATGTTGCCATCTATTTTGTGAAGTGCACCAGTCCCTCCTGCAGCAAAGCACCCCCACAGCATGATGCTGCCACCCCCGTGCTTCACGGTTGGGATGGTGTTCTTCGGCTTGCAAGCATACCCCTTTTTCCTCCAAACATAACAATGGTCATTATGGCCAAACAGTTCTATGTTTTTTCATCAGACCAGAGGACATTTCTCCAAAAAGTACGATCTTTGTCCCCATGTGCAGTTGCAAACCGTAGTCTGGCTTTTCAATGGCGGTTTTGGAGCAGTGGCTTCTTCCTTGTTGAGCGGCCTTTCAGGTTATGTCGATATAGGACTTGTTTTACTGTGGATATAGATACTTTTGTACAGTGAGGGAAAAAAGTATTTGATCCCCTGCTGATTTTGTACGTTTGCCCACTGACAAAGAAATGATCAGTCTTTCATTTTAATGGTAGGTTTATTTGAACAGTGAGAGACAGAATAACAACAAAAAAATCCAGAAAAAGGCATGTCAAAAATGTTATAAATTGATTTGCATTTTAATGAGGGAAATAAGTATTTGACCCCCTCTCAATCAGAAAGATTTCTGGCTCCCAGGTGTCTTTTATACAGGTAACGAGCTGAGATTAGGAGCACACTCTTAAAGGGAGTGCTCCTAATCTCAGCTTGTTACCTGTATAAAAGACACCTGTCCACAGAAGCAATCAATCAATCAGATTCCAAACTCTCCACCATGGCCAAGACCAAAGAGCTCTCCAAGGATGTCAGGGACAAGATTGTAGACCTACACAAGGCTGGAATGGGCTACAAGACCATCGCCAAGCAGCGTGGTGAGAAGGTGACAACAGTTGGTTCGATTATTCGCAAATGGAAGAAACACAAAATAACTGTCAATCTCCCTCGGCCTGGGGCTCCATGCAAGATCTCACCTCGTGGAGTTGCAATGATCATGGGAACGGTGAGGAATCAGCCCAGAACTACACGGGAGGATCTTGTCAATGATCTCAAGGCAGCTGGGACCATAGTCCCCAAGAAAACAATTGGTAACACACTACGCCCGCAAGGTCCCCCTGCTCAAGAAAGCACATATACAGGGCTGTCTGAAGTTTGCCAATGAAGATCTGAATGATTCAGAGGAGAACTGGGTGAAAGTGTTGTGGTCAGATGAGACCAAAATCGAGCTCTTTGGCATCAACTCAACTCGCCGTGTTTGGAGGAGGAGGAATGGTGCCTATGACCCCAAGAACACCATCCCCACCGTCAAACATGGAGGTGGGAACATTATGCTTTGGGGGTGTTTTTCTGCTAAGGGGACAGGACAACTTCACTGCATCAAAGGGACAATGGACAGGGCCATGTACTGTCAAATCTAGGGTGAGAACCTCCTTCCCTCAGCCAGGGCATTGAAAATGGTTCGTGGATGGGTATTCCAGCATGACAATGACCCAAAACACACGGCCAAGGCAACAAAGGAGTGGCTCAAGAAGAAGCACATTAAGGTCCTGGAGTGGCCTAGCCAGTCTCCAGACCTTAATCCCATAGAACATCTGTGGAGGGAGCTGAAGGTTCGAGTTGCCAAACGTCAGCCTCGAAACCTTAATGACTTGGAGAAGATCTGCAAAGAGGAGTGGGACAAAATCCATCCCTGAGATATGTGCAAACCTGGTGGCCAACTATAAGAAACGTCTGACCTCTGTGATTGCCAACAAGGGTTTTGCCACCAAGTACTAAGTCATGTTTTGCAGAAGGGTCAATACTTATTTCCCTCATTTAAAATGCAAATCAATTTATAACATTTTTGACATGCGTTTTTCTGGATTTTGTTGTTGTTATTCTGTCTCTCACTGTTCAAATAAACCTACCATTAAAATTATAGACTGATCATGTCTTTGTCAGTGGGAAAACGTACAAAATCAGCAGGGGATCAAATACTTTTTCCCCCTCATTGTACCAGCATCTTCACAAGGTCCTTTGCTGTTGTTCTGGGATTGATTTGCACTTTTCGCACCAAAGTACGTTCATCTCTAGGAGACAGAACGCGTCTCCTTCCTGAGCGGTATGACGGCTGTGTGGTCCCATGGTGTTTATACTTCCGTACTATTGTTTGTACAGATGAACGTGGTACCTTCAGGCGTTTGGAAATTGCTCCCAAGGATGAACCAGACTTGTGGAGGTCTACAATTTTTTTCTGAGGTCTTGGCTGATTTCTTTTGATTTTCCCATGATGTCAAGCAAAGAGGCACTGAGTTTGAAGGTAGGCCTTGAAATACATCCACAGGTACAGTTCCAATTGACTCAAATGATGTCAATTAGCCTATCCGAAGCTTCTAAAGCCATGACATCTTTTTCTGGAATTTTCCAAGCTGTTTAAAGGAACAGTCAACTTAGTGTATGTAAACTTCTGACCCACTGGAATTGTGATACAGTGAATTATAAGTGAAATAATCTGTCTGTAAATAATTGTTGGAAAAATTACTTGTCCCTAACCGACTTGCCAAAACTATAGTTTGTTAACAAGACATTTTGGAGTGGTTGAAAAACTAGTTTTAATGACTCCAACCTAAGTGTATGTAAACTTCCGACTTCAACTGTATGTGCTGTAATGTACTGTGAACATTTAGACATTGAGCAATGCACAGACACACACAACAATGCCTGAATATACATTTTACACACAAAGAAACAGTCATGAGCGCAGACACATGCATTCAATCAGTGACGTTACCCACTCTAAAACCTAGAAGTAGTAGTTTCTCTCGCTCTGAAAGGGCCACAGATTTGTGGAGCGATAGTTAACAATGCTTCGTGGGTGACAGTTGTCAATGTGTTCAGAGGGTCCCTGGTTTGTGCCCAGGTTGGGGCAAGGAGAGGGACGGAAGCAACACTGTTACAGTACATACAGAAACACACACCCATTCACAGAAAATCTGAGAGAATATCTATAATTTATTGCAGGCAGGCTAAATGTAATGCAGGCAGGCTAAACAAACAATACATTTCTGATCTGGCATTTACGATAGCAGCAGCGACCATATTTAGTGTATAACCTAAGATAATAGAAAGGTATGATTGGACTGGTGCCCAGATATCACTGATGCTACATGAGTCACAGAGAGGGCAGTAAAGACTTACTTTTGTAAGTATTAATTGAGGACACAGGTGAGGAGGGACACTATCTTGTTGACTGTCATGTCCTCTGCACCCTCATGGACACGGTGTTATGGTAGAGCATGAAGAACCTGTCAAGGTGTTGGGAAGCACTACACCAGCGTCACCGCTCACTGTGGCCTCCAGCCTTACCCATGGCGCGCTGCAGCGCTATCCACATTTGCTTGGCCAGGTTGTCCGTCAGGCCCTGCACCTTGCCAAAGTAGTTTCAAATGAGGTTCATGTTGTGAGTGTTCTTGCTGCCCATGTGGGACTGATCGTACATGAGGTCATTCCATGAGCACTCCAGGTTCATCAGCTTGTGCTGGCCCTCCAGCTCAGCTTGCTTTATCATTAACGGAGTGTCTGCCACCATCTCAGGCACTGCACACGAAGGGTGGAGAAATATTAATATACAAATACATTGTAACTGTACAGTGTCACATAAAATGCAATGCAAGCCAACAACAGTTCCCAATCAAGTGGCATGTAAGAGTGCAGCTGAACATACCTGAGAAGATATTATTCAGGTTCTCCACGGCTGAGGCTAGCTGACTGTGTTGCATCCCAGCATATTTTACATCCTTCAGGTTTTCAATGGTGTTGATGCTTTTTCCAGGGAGTTCTGGATGTCCTTCATGTCCCCCAGGGCTGACGGAGGCCTGAACGGACCACGTCTAAGTGGAATTGGATTGCAGCCTGGAGACAGACAATTTGTAAATGGTTTAGATAGGGTGTTACATTGTCAGCCAATGTCAAAGCTAAATACATTATTTTCTACCTTCAGTCATGCTTCTACTAAAGCTTCAGATCTAATTGGGTGATCAATAAATCATGGGATTTATGTCAGTTGCTAGGTCTTAGCAGGTGAATGATACATTTTCTAATGATTATGCTAGCTAGCTATGGCTCCATACAGAATCTAGCAAGCTAGCGAGCTAGCTTTAAAATAGTTTGCAAAATAACTTTACCTAATCGATTTCGATAGCTAGCATCAGACTGCTACACTAGTTACAAACTCATAATAACAATGACTTGGACAATAGCTTCCAAATACGTATTACAAAGAAGAAAAAAGCTTGGAAGCCATAAAAGAAAAACATTTAAACTTACTCTCCATTACAGGTAACAGTTGGGCTTCTTTGGTGGACATTGGGGGTTTTGGATAAAAATAAGGTCTGTGGTAAACACAGGCTTAGGAGATCTTTAACCTCAGACCTTATTTTTATCCAAAAACCCCATTATGTACCTATTAATTTCCCCTATAGGAATGGCCAGGGGTGTAGGAGCAACTCTGACATTGGGGGGACTCTGACATTGCTACGGGGGTCTGTTTGTTTGTTTGTTGAAAAACAGGTTTTAAACGCTAATTTCTAGTGACTTTTGAGAAAAGTACAGCATAGATTAAAAAAAGTTTTAGAGTTAATTTCCTGCAATTCTACATATCTTGCCATGGGGCGTAGAGAGAACGTTGCAGTTTTAAATCAAGTTTTCTGCTATTCTACAAATTTTGCTTTGGGGCGGAGATAAGATTTAGCCATTTTATAACTAATTTCCTTAAATTCTACACATTTTGCCATAGGGTGGTTGAGGAATGTTTGCAGTTTTTAATGATATCTGAGTGAGAGTGAATAACAAAGTCAATGCCCCAACCCCCCCCCCCGTCGGTAATTTGACCATGATTACTATACGTTTAGATAGATTGGTAAATTAGTTAAGATAGCTGACATAACGAGAAAAAAAACTAATTTCGAAATTGCACCTTTTATATACAGTGGGGGGGAAAAGTATTTAGTCAGCCACCAATTGTGCAAGTTCTCCCACTTAAAAAGATGAGAGAGGCCTGTAATTTTCATCATAGGTACACGTCAACTATGACAGACAAAATGAGAAAAATAAATCCAGAAAATCACATTGTAGGATTTTTAATGAATTTATTTGCAAATAATGGTGGAAAATAACTATTTGGTTAATAACAAAAGTTTCTCAATACTTTGTTATAGACCCTTTGTTGGCAATGACACAGGTCAAACGTTTTCTGTAAGTCTTCACAAGGTTTTCACACACTGTTGCTGGTATTTTGGCCCATTCCTCCATGCAGATCTCCTCTAGAGCAGTGATGTTTTGGGGCTGTCGCTGGGCAACACGGACTTTCAACTCCCTCCAAAGATTTTCTATGGGGTTGACATCTGGAGACTGGCTAGGCCACTCCAGGACCTTGAAATGCTTCTTACGAAGCCACTCCTTCGTTGCCCGGGCGGTGTGTTTGGGATCATTGTCATGCTGAAAGACCCAGCCACGTTTCATCTTCAATGCCCTTGCTGATGGAAGGAGGTTTTCACTCAAAATCTCACGATACATGGCCCCATTCATTCTTTCCTTTACACGGATCAGTCGTAATGGTCCCTTTGCAGAAAAACAGCCCCAAAGCATGATGTTTCCACCCCCATGCTTCACAGTAGGTATGGTGTTCTTTGGATGCAACTCAGCATTCTTTGTCCTCCAAACACGACGAGTTGAGTTTTTACCAAAAAGTTATATTTTGGTTTCATCTGACCATATGACATTCTCCCAATCCTCTTCTGGATCATCCAAATGCACTCTAGCAAACTTCAGACGGGCCTGGACATGTACTGGCTTAAGCAGGGGGACACGTCTGGCACTGCAGGATTTGAGTCCCTGGCGGCGTAGTGTGTTACTGATGGTAGGCTTTGTTACTTTGGTCCCAGCTCTCTGCAGGTCATTCACTAGGATAAAAAATTGCATTTTATGCGTCCCCTGCCAAAATGAAAAAATCTGCCGCGCAATGACGGGCGGCTCTTTCTCCAATAACAAACGACGGCTCCCTTGGCAGAGGTCGGGTAAAAAGCTACTAAAAATAAACACGGATTTCAGCACCCAAAGAAAAGCTTGCAGTTACACGGCACAAACATGGGTACAAGGAAATCATTAAAGAATTGACTTTTTCAAGTATGGACTGATAGCGACTCGAGGTAGTTGGTGGACACTCACCGCAACTCAGATTTCTGCCACCTAAAGCTAATTTCCTGCATTTCTACAACATTTGACATGACCCATTGCCCTTCTACCCAGTTATTTTTAGAATGGTACCATGTTCAAAAGTTCAAACCAACTCTTGAGTTGATTTGGTCATGCAATTTTGAACATGGTGACCTTGCCCCTATCATTGTTTTTTGGTTAAGTTAGCTCAAGTTGAAGAACATATAGTTTTATACCCTCAGCATATGAACAAATGATGTACTCAGAACAGGAGTTGCATAGGGCTTTATCTGAAGGAGGAGTTATTGGCTGGTTCATGTGATTTTTTTAGGCTGCATTTTGTGATGAGATTGACAAGCACCTTTTATTAGGGCTCTGATTGATAACCACTTTTTAGGGATGGTAAGAGCCAGATGTGTCAGACCTTTACAGTGCTGAAGGACAGTGCATTCCTCTGAATACTAAGCATTTTCTGTAACATTAATGCCCTATTAACTAGGGATGGGCATTTTAAATGATTTCACTATATTTTCTCGCCCATCCGGATACGGATAGTAAAAGAATTATGAAAAATGTTTGATTCTCTTAACCAATCAGAATGAAGCAAAATGCCACAACAGCAGACAGTGCACAGTTGTTTTCAGCGTGCTATTCCGGTGTTTGTTGGCTAACAGTAGCCTAGGCAAACAGCAACAGTAGCCTAGGCAAACAGCAACAGTAGCCTAGGCAAACAGCAACAGTAGCCTAGGCAAACAGCAACAGTAGCCTAGGCAAACAGCAACAGTAGCCTAGGCTAACAGCAACAGTAGCCTAGGCTAAGAGCAACAGGGAAAGAGATGATGTTCGCCATCATAGAACTGATTCTGTTTAAAAAAACGTTCTGGTGAGTGTTTTGCATTGATCAGTGTCAGGTCTTGGACCCTCCGTTGGTGCACGGCTGTAGGCTAATCGCTATTTGAAGTTGGGAAAATAGCATAGAATTGTAATGGCTGAACGGAGGGCTAAATGCTGTATGATAGTAAAATATATTTTCATGTAAAACGCAACCCATAACCCATGTCCCATGAGAGAGAAAATGAGCTTGAAAATAAAACAGTCACTTTGTGCATCCTCAGAACTCTAGGCTATATTTACAGTGCGCAATTGTAAACAATGTACTGTCAAAGCCACGTGACATCTGAAGCAGCAGTATCTCAATGTGCCTTATAAAAACTAAAATATACACTACATGACGAGAAGTATGTGGACACCTGCTCGTTGAACATCTCAATCCAAAGCCCCTTTGCTGCTATAACAGCCTCCACTCTTCTGGGAAGGCTTTCCACTAGATGTTGGAACATTGCTGCAGGGACTTGCTTCCATTCAGCCACAAGAGCATTAGTGAGGTTGAGCACTGATGTTGGGTGATTAGGCCTGGCTCGCAGTCGGCATTCCAATTCATCTCAAAGGTGTTCGATGGGGTTGAGGTCAGGGCTCTGTGCAGGCCAGGCAAGTTCTTTCTTAACACCACTCCTGCCGACACTTGGCATTACGCATGGTGATCTTAGGCTTGTGTGCGGCTGCTCGGCCATGGAAACCCATTTCATGAAGCTCCCGACAAAGTTATTGTGCTGAGGTTGCTTCCAGGGGAAGTTTGGAACTCTGTAGTGAGTGTTACAACCGAGGACAGACGATTTTTACGCGCTACGTGCTACAGCACTCGGCGGTCCAGTTCTGTGAGCTTGTGTGGCCTACCATTTTGTGGCTGACGTACAGTTGACCGGGGCAGCTCTAGCAGGGCAGACATTTGACTAACTGACTTGTTGGAAAAGTGGCATCCTCTGACGTTGCCACGTTGAAAGTCACGGAGTTCTTCAGTAAGGCCATTCTACTGCCAATGTTTGCTTTCTTGGCTGTGTGCTCGATTTTATACACCTGTTAGGTATGGTTGTGGCTGAAATAGCCGAATCCACTAATTTGAAGGGGTGGCCACATACAGTACCAGTCAAACGTTTGGACACACCTACTCGTGCCATTTACTGAGGAGTGGCTTCCGTCTGGCCACTCTGGTGGAGTGCTGCAGAGATGGTTGTCCTTCTGGAAGGTTCTCCCATCTCCACAGAGGAACTCTGGAGCACTGTCAGAGTGACCATCGGGTTCTTGGTCACCTACCTGACCAAGGCCCTTCTCCCCCGATTGCTCAGTTTGGCCGGACGGCCAGCTCCAGGAAGAGTCTTGGTGGTTCCAAACTTCTTCCATTTAAGAATGATGGAGGCCACTGTGTTCTTGGGGACCTTCAATGCTGCAGACATTTTTTGGGAACCTTCCCCAGATCTGTGCCTCGACACAATCCTATCTCGGAACTCTACGGACAATTCCTTCGACCTCATGGCTTGGTTTTTGCTCTGACATGCACTGTCAACTGTGAAGCCTTATATAGACAGGTGTGTGCCTTTCCAAATCATGTCCAATCAATTTAATTTACCACAGGTGGACTCCAATCAAGTTGTAGAAACATCTCAAGGATGATAAATGGAAACAGGATGCACCTGAGCTCTATTTCCGAGTCTCATAGCAAAGGGTCTGA